TGACCGCACAAGAGTGCCTTGATCCACCCTCAACAGAGGACAGACCATTTAACTTCGCTATTAATAATGAATTAATAGAAAACAATGAGTTTAGGCTAGAGCACCTAAACTCAGAAGAAAAAGAAAAAATAAAAAAAGTTTTACATGAATTTCGTGATATCCAGTACCATGAAGGTGACAATTTGACTTTCACTAGTACAATTAAACACAAAATTCTAACGAAACATGAGGACCCAATTTACAAGCGTCCATACAAATATCCTCAAATATACGATGAGGAAGTAAATAAACAAATAAGCGATATGATAAAACAAAATATCATACGTAAATCCAAATCCCCTTACTGCTCACCAGTAATAATCGTTCCAAAGAAAAACGATGCATCTGGAAAGCAAAAATTCCGGTTAGTCATAGATTACCGCAATCTCAATGAACTAACTATTAATGATAAATACCCTATCCCGATCATGGATGAAATATTAGACAAACTTGGAAAATGTCAATATTTCACAACCATTGATCTAGCCAAAGGCTTCCACCAAATCCAAATGGATCCTGGTTCAATACCCAAGACCGCATTTTCGACTAAACATGGCCATTACGAGTACACTCGCATGCCATTTGGTCTTAAGAATGCACCTGCAACGTTCCAACGTTGTATGAACAATCTCTTAGAAGATTTAATTTTTAAAGATTGTCTGGTCTACTTAGACGACATTATTATTTTTTCCACTTCATTGGAGGAACACATTTTGTCGCTACAAAAGGTATTTAAGAAGCTTAGAGAAGCTAACTTAAAACTACAGTTGGATAAATGCGAGTTTATGAGAAAAGAAACTGAATTTCTCGGTCACATCATCACAACTGAGGGTATAAAACCAAATCCCAACAAGATACAAGCAATTGTCAAATTCCCAATTCCAAAAACCCCAAAAGAAATTAAATCATTTCTAGGATTATGTGGTTTCTATAGGAAATTTATACCAAATTTCGCTAATATAGTAAAACCATTAACACTTAAATTAAAAAAGGGAGCAAAAATCAATATAAAAGACAGAGACTACGAGCTAGCGTTTGAAAAGCTAAAAGTACTCATAACATCCGACCCAATTTTAATATACCCTAACTTCGAAAAACCATTTTCATTAACTACAGACGCGAGTAATATGGCAATAGGGGCCGTCCTTTCGCAAGAGCATAAGCCTATATGCTATGCAAGTAGAACTCTCAACGAGCATGAGTTAAATTATTCAACGATTGAAAAAGAATTATTAGCAATCGTTTGGGCCACTAAATACTTTAGGTCCTATCTCTTTGGTCGACAATTTCAAATCCTTAGTGATCACAGACCACTCGTCTGGTTAAATAATATGAAAGAACCTAACATGAAATTACAAAGGTGGAAGATCAAGCTAAATGAGTTTGATTTCCAAATTAAATACGTCCCAGGAAAAGAAAATTATGTGGCAGATGCTCTGTCCAGAATTCAATTAAACGAAAACTTCTTAGGCGAAGATACAATTAGCACAAGAGCAACAATACATAGTGCTCAAGAAGACAACAGTAACCATTTACAAATCACAGAAAGACCACTTAATTATTATAATCGACAAATAGAATTTGAAAAAGGAACCGAGAACGAAACAAAAGTTACGAATTACTTTCACAAAACCAACATAAAAATTACGTACAAAGACATGACTAATACGCATGCCAAAGAATTAATAAAAGAATACTTATGCACAAAGAAAAGTGTGCTATACTTCCACAACGAAGCAGATTTTCCAATTTTTCAAGAAGCCTACTTAGAAATAATAAGTCCGAATAATTCAACAAAGGCAATGAAAACTAGTACAAAATTAATAGACCTTCAAACATACGCAGAATTCAAAGAATTAATATTAAAAAAGCACAAAGAATTATTACATCCAGGAATTGAAAAAACTATCAATTGGTTCAAAGAAACCCACTATTTCCCAGATTATCAAAATCTAATTCAAAATCTAATAAATGAATGTGAGATTTGCAACATCGCAAAAACAGAACACAGAGATACAAAATTAACTTTCGAAATAACTCCGGAAATCGCTAATATCCGAGAAAAATATGTAATGGATTTTTACATAGTAGGAGATAAACAATTTTTATCTTGCATTGATATCTATTCAAAATTTGCATCATTAATAGAAATAAAAAGTAGAGACTGGCTAGAAACCAAACGAGCTATATTACAAGTGTTCAACCAAATGGGTAAACCCATCGAAATAAAGGCAGACAAAGACTCAGCTTTTATGTGCACAGCTTTACAATTATGGCTAAAATCAGAAGCAGTAAATATTAATATAACCACTAGTAAAAACGGTATATCCGACGTAGAACGATTTCATAAGACAGTTAACGAAAAACTAAGAATCATTAACAGCGACTCAGACGTCGAAAATAAACTTACAAAATTTGAAACTATACTCTACACGTACAATCATAAAACAAAGCACAAAACGACTAACAGAACACCAGCGGACATATTCATATATGCAGGTACACCAGAGTATGACACTCAAGCTAATAAAGAAAAACTAATAAATAACCTCAACAAAAACCGAAGAAACTTTTAACAATTTAATTGAACAAAGTAAAGAATTCAATAACCTTATACAAATCGAATACCTAGTAGAAAAATTAAACAGAGAAATAAACGGCTTAAAAATAGCCAAACGTAGCAAAAGAGGTTTAGTTAACATAGTAGGAACAGCATATAAATACTTATTTGGAACATTAAATCAAGAAGACAAAGCAGAAATTGAACAAAAAATAAGCAACTTAGCAGAAAACAGCGTTCAGGTTAACGAATTAAATTACATAATAGAAGCTATAAACAAAGGAATAGAAATCATGAACGAACTAGATCAAGAGAAACAAAAAGGAAAGAAATTAGATATCCTTATATTTAACTTACAACACTTTACAGAATATATAGAAGACATTGAGATGGGAATGCAGCTCACAAGATTAGGAATTTTTAACCCAAAATTACTAAAACATGACTATTTGTTGCATGTTAATTCTGAGAAATTGTTGAATACAAAAACTTCCACTTGGTTTAAATCAGATACAAACGAAATACTGATAATATCCCATATTCCTCGAGAAATAATAAAAAGCCCGGTATTCGAAATAATTCCATACCCGGATGAAAATAATAATATTTTGACAGAAATAGCTCATGAAAAATATTTTACCCAAGATAAAAAAGTTTATAGCAGAGAAACAAAAAAATTAATTAATAATGAATGTTTAACAGGAATTTTAAACCAAATAACATCAGAATGTAGTTATACTAAAATTTTGCAAAATTTTCAAATCAACTACATAGAACCAAATATAATTTTAACTTGGAATTTACCAAAAACTATATTAAACCATAATTGTATAAATAACGAAATAACAATAGAAGGAAACAATATAATAAAAATCTTTAATTGTTCATTGCAAATTAATGAAATTTCAATTTCAAACAATATGTTAGATTATACTCAAAGCATTTACGTAAGCAATGATGTTATAAAATTAGAACCACTTTCGTTTGTACAAACGAAACAAATTATAAATGCACATACAAAATTTAACAATGTATTCCAGATAATTACAATAACCATATTTGTAATCATATTAATAAGTTTAACACTGTATTTGACATATAAGTTCAAAAGCATACCTAAGAAATTAATTATAAAATATAAAAAACCCAAAGTAGAAGAAACACCTACAATAATAGGAGATATACCAATTGTAAAAGAAGAAAATGTTACACTATATCCAAACTTAAACACCTGAGGACAGGCACTTTTCTAATGGTTGGGGGAGTGACATATCCATAGTCGCACCCACCCTTTAACATATCTTAGCACATAAGCATAAGCACAATTATAAACATTTCTAATATTGTAAACAAAGAGCCTGGTGATAACATCGACATTGGTCAAGATCAAACTGTCCCCCTTTGGTAGACATAAACAATTCACCCTAAATATCACGCCACTGTCAATGTTCCCATCAGAGTACTATCCCACGCATAATTGCTGACGCAGCTCAAACTTCACTCAATTTTGACTCAAACTCTCTCAAAGCGAAGTTTGCTAAGCGACCGCAACAGTTAGATAAATCAGTTCATATTCGGGAAGCAAATCTGAATGTACTCAACAAAAGTAGCCGTTAAGTGAAAATAATAAATTGAAATATATTTTTTTATAGTAACCTAACGTGTAAAACTTAATTATATATATATATATATATATATATATATATATATATATATATATATATATATATATGTATGCCAGCAATACCCATAAAGGGTTCACTCTCCAGTTGGTTTGGCCCTTGACAATGCTCTTGCTTAATTTTTTGCAGTGTCTCTTAATTGCGGCGCGATTAAACGCTTTTATATTTCTGAATTGATTTAATGACTTTTAAGCAAAAAAAAAAAATAAAAAATAATAAATAATAATATAATACTCTCCCCTCTCTGTCTAATTTAGTAAATTATACAGTTTGCAATTGTTATGCATTGCATGGAAAATTTGTCAATAATTGAATGCAAGTTTAATTAAGAGAATCAAGCAAAATTGCAGTTACAATTATTTACATATTTAATAGTTAGATGCCGTTTAATGATGAGCACGTAGCTTCAATTTTGATTAGAACACATTATTCGAGGACATGATTTGATTTTGGCAAATAAATGCCAACTATTTGCTTTAGATTATGTTATGAAAACTACAATTTTCCATGCTGACTTTGGCAACCTTTTCATTTTAAAATCTTAAACAAAAATGAAAAACATTTCAGTGTAGATCTAGATTATTCCGATATATTTCGGCTCGCATCCCATTCTTAAGGCCCTCTTTTGGGTTAATATTTTCTCTCTCTCTCTCTTTCTCTCTCTCTGTTCTGTTCACACTCGACTCAACCCTAGACACTTGTCCTCCATTGTCACTTACCTCAGCTTGTGTTGTTGTGGATACGGGCGCAGTCTGGGCCGCCACCAGAATGGCTAGGAATGTGCCTAGAACTATGAACACGGATGCGTAGCTTTGGCAGGTGTTGGACATGTTGTTGCTGTTCTTGTTGTAGCTATTGTTGTTGTTGTTGTTGTGAGTTTGTCTGCGGTTGTCTGTGGCGCACTTTGAACTTCAAGTCGTGACTGAAGTTTGTAAAAGCAACTGCGCACTGCAAATAGAAATAGAAAAAAAGAAATAGAATTGCAAAAAAGGTCAATTAAGATATTAGCCAGGTAGAAGAATCATAAAAGCGGCCGCCAGCGACAGCGCCAATCAAATGGGCCAAGTGCAAAAGGGCAAACGGAAGTGGGTGACACCGACCAACCCCCTCCTACCCCTTTTGCCAACAGGTAGAGTGCAGCCGTAACTGGGTCTAAATGGGCCTGGAACGGTTAACGGAAGTGGCCAAGTTGTGGACGAACTTGTCTGTGTGTGTGTGTGTGTAGCTGACGTTGTCTTCTGTGTCAGCTGTTGTTGTTGTTGTTGCTGTTGTTGTTGCTAGTTGTTGATTGCAGCCGCAGTCATGTGGCTGTCTCACATTTGTCTACACTTGCACTTAAATTTAGACTAGGCCCAATTACAGCCTAAATTTAGACGGGCCAATATTTGCACTAGGATCCGCACAGATATTAGCTGAGACTTATTTACACCGAGAACATATGATATGCCTTCTAAAAATAGCAACTATACTTTTACATTATTTTCTCTTATTATTTTTTTATGGCACACGTTAGGTATACGACATGTGTTTTTGCTTGATCTCCAGCAGCAGATAGAGCCAAGAAAACAAGAGCTTAAGCCAGGACTAACAGCTGCTGCTTTATGGCCTTATAAACTTGAGTTATAACTGTTTTATTGGCCAGGCTTAACGGCACACGGCAACAGGCAGGTGCAGCGGGCAATGCAGTGGGTCTTAAAATATGAGTTACAGTTGTATTTTGAGACAACCCCAAAAAAAAGAGCAACAAAAAAAGCGCTACAAAAGAAAGCTGTGAAAATGTACAAGGAAGTTGTTTCTTGTTTTTCACTTTTTTTTTAATATATATTCGTAACTTAACAACCTTGTTTTTACCTTTACCTCCTCATTTAATCTGTCGCCCAACATTTAAGTACTTTTCTTATAATATTTACTCAAATCCACAATTGCTAATCACACCTTTCTAATGCCTGTTATATATACATATATATATATCTTTCTATTTGTATATTCTCCTGTCAGAGCTTGAACAAGCCTGGCAACATTTTCGCGCAGTGCATTCTGTGACATCAGCAGACGTGCGATAAGGGATATCAAGTATACGACAAGTGGCGCGCAGTTTTCAACGCCAAGAGCCAAAAGTAAACGCCGCCAACAACAGCAGAGGGTACAATAACTTATAAATATATTTATTTATTTATTTTTCTTCTTTTTGGGTGTGCCAAGTGGCAAGAGGAAGCAGCTGGAGAAACAATATTTGCTGTATGATACGCACAGGTCTGCATTTTGTTGTAGTTGTTTACATTGTTGTCTTTCCTATTGACTAATCACCCGGGGGATTTCTGTGTGGACATGGGTATTATCATTCTGACTGAGGCGAAAATCATGTGTGTTGCCAGTAAAACATACACATATACAGATAAACAGTCAAATTGGGAGCAATTAGCCAGCCAGCCGGGTTGAAGGTCGCACCGCGCCGGGTTTAAGGTTAAAGCTGTCGATTTGGCTACTCTCTGCTTGGCTACACACTCATATGATATATGTACACATATATATATATATATATATAGGGGTAGGGGTAGTCATAGTCGCTATAACGATGAAAGCTTTTGCATTGTTGTTTAATCAATACGCGCAATTTGCGGTAAGGAGTTCAGAGTTTTTTTTGCCAACAAATCGCATTTGATATCGCAACGTTACGTATACGTAATATGGGTCATCGACAGGAGGTTGTTTTTTTTTTTTTTTTGTAGCAGGTGCTACTCAGTCGCCTATGCTAATATTTACCGAGTTTTCCAACTAAATCTGATTCATATAAATAATATTTATTTTATATGCAAATTATTTGGGCATTTTTTTATTATGTTTTTTTTTTTTGTTCTTGCCTTTCTCTTGTGTTGATTTGGTTATGCGGCATCTAATTAGCAGTTGGAACTGTTTGCCAACAGGTTTAGCGACAGCTACACTGAGAGAAACTCGTTTAGAATCTATTCAAATAACTGAACAATTCTGGACTTTAAATATATTCTCAGCTGCTTTTGCAACATTTTTCAAATGTTTTTCAATTTGTTGAAAGTTTTTCGCTAGTTGAACAACTTTTTCGCTCAGTGCATCTATGACGTTTGTTAGCATTTCTAGTTTTTGTTGGCCAGTTGCGTTGTTTTTAACTGAAAGATGCGGCACATTGCACAATGACTCTCATTCTCGGTGTGTGTGTGTGTGTGTGCTCGTGCCTTATCAGCAATTCTTTTAGCTTGTTTTTTTGTTCACTTTTCCAAATACTTGTTAAAGTGCTTACGAATTTACGCATTGATAAGATATGCGCGGCGTCGATTTATGCTTCAGGGCTGTGAATTACCAAATATTTGTAATGGCCAGCGTTCCATCAATAAATATTATTTTGGTTTAGAACTTGACCTTAGAGATACGCACAGGCGGGGCGCGATGGATGTTAGTCAGGCACACACACACACACACACACACACACGTACAAGAAAAAAAGTGAATGTATTCAATCAAATATAAATGGAGGGTGTTTAATTATATTTAATTGCTGCTTATTCAAGTTCATTTCTCTTTCTTTTCGCATTTTTTTTTAGATAAGATTTCGTCTCGGGTTTTATCGCCCGAATGGATGCTTACATGGGAATTGTGGCTCTCTGTGGATCAATGAACCGTTGTTGTTGTTGTTGTTGCAGTTGCAGCTGCTCTCTTTGTTCCTCGGCTGATTGTCGTCGCATGCAACACTTTGACAAATTAATTAATTAGCTCGTTGCATAAATTAAATACGCGCGTTTGTCTTAATTGTGGGCGTTTTTCGTTTGCGTTGACGTTGACGTATTTCTTTCTCTTTACTTATGATTTGTTTGTGCACAGTTTAAAGACAATCCTTTTGTTTTGTTTCTTCTTTTTGCTAAGATACATGCACTAATTGCTGGCACTGTACTGACAATTTCCGCAACAAATGCAACTGTAACGGTCTAAAAAAACGGCACTTGTTCACTTTGCAAACACTACGTACTTAAACTTGCTTTCAATTCGAATGCTTGCAACTGTTACGATTTGAATTCTATTTTGATATTAAGTTAATTAAGTTTCTATCGTATTTCGTGACTCGCCGCTAAACACAACCGCACAGAGCAGCGCGCAATTTTCAACTGATCCAACGGCGCATCACAAAGTGCGAGCCGTTTAACGCTCAGCGAAAGCTTTTCGCAGTTGCGCACAAAACAAAAGCTTTCGCACGCACACGCATCACGCTTAACAGCGACGCGCTGACAAATAGCAGCGCTCTGTTACGCTTAACAGCGGGGATTCCGTAGCTGGTCAAACCTGTTGCTGCGGCTGCTGCTGCTGCTGCTGCTAAAACCTCTTAAGCTGCGCTCTGCTGTGCGTATGAGTAATGCGAATTTCTTGGAAGCCGCAACATGTGTCATGCTCTCTGTGCGCGTTTGTAGCAGCAGCAGCCGCAGCAGCAGCAGCAGCAGCAAAGGCAGCGGCAGCTTTTAACTGTTCAGCGCGCGCTTTAGTGTTTTTGTTGCTCCCCACTCATTTGCATTTTTACAGTTTACAGTTTACAGTTTCTTGCGTTGTCATTTGACAATTTATTGCCGTTTGCTGCTGCTGCTGCTGTTTCTTGCAAATTTCGTGCAATTTCCGATGAATTTGTGACTCTTTAGCGCCCTGCTTTTAGCTACAGTTGTGGGCGTGGAAACCCCTCGATACACGAATTTATGAATGAATCTCAAATTGATTTTCGATTTCACAGTTTGCTTTCAGTTTGTGGTTTTGCGTTTCTCAATGAATATTAGTCATGACTAAGCGATGTGTGCGAATGTGTGTGTGTGTGTGTGTGACAATTAACACCTGTCTGGCACACGCCTTGTCTGTACGTTTCTGCTGCTGAGCTATGTCAGAGGTTGCCTCATAAAATCCAAAGCAGGAAGTTGAGATATTAGTATGTTACGTATATAGACTTTGTAGCTAAATTAGCTGCTTCTGCTAATATTTGTATGATTACAAGTTGTATAAAATATATCAAATATTTAAAATTGGTTTTATATCGTATAAACATACGTCCTTAACCTAACTTCCTAAATAAATGCAATATCGTATATGTAAACTTACCTAACCTCACTTTCTAAATAATTTGTATATCGTAAAAACATACGTCCTTAACCTAACTTATCTTATCCTGGCCAAACATTTCTCTTTTTGTGTGTAAAGAATAATACGAGTTTGTTTCTTACAGCTCTTTTAAGAGTTTCTTTAGAATCGCGAATATGTCAAAGAACTAATCAACTTCTCAGTTGTAGAGTATTACACATGTCGACTGCCCAGTTTTATTTTATAGTCTTCTTACTTTTTAGACACACAAAGCTAATCAAGTGCTTATATACACATGTTTACATATATGATTTTAGTCATTGGAAATGCGCCTGATTTTCTTAGATTTCCTAATAAATGTGGTATTTGTAGATAGATAGAGTGTGTGTGTGTTGGTGTATTTGGCTTTTACCCCATTGTCCATTAGCATCAATTGAGAAAAATTATTAAACACTGTCTACGTAGATCGGCTGAATCAAGTTCTGAGTCAGCAAACGCTCCATACCCCTCCCCCTTGCACGTCGCCCATTTCCAGATAATTTGCCTATAAACAGATGCTGTGTGGAGAAGGGGGGGAGGGGGGTAAGTAAATTGCCCAATGTGCCAGACACTTACGAGCTGGTAAACAATCACAGTAGCTGCAAATGATCTGTGCACATGTGTATAATTTATTGGAGCTCTAATGGAAATTTACAGAGATGCAATGTGACCAAAATGGAAAGACAGCACATGTGTGAAAATAATGTACACAGATTTTATGTCAATCTTAAGTTGTTGTATTAACAGAACGAAACCAGAAGAAGCAGAAGAAAGAGAACAAAAGCGCCACAAAATGTTGCATTGCATATGCGATTCCTTGACAGCTGGAGAACTGGCAACTGGCAACTGGCAACTGGCGACTGCCAAGTGAGGGCCTCGAGAACTTCAAGAACTGGTATGAGACCTGCCTACTTTTATGGCATTGACAACTTGCAGTTGTCGTCGTACAACGCCCGGCCCTACCTCGCCCTACCTCGCCCTATCCCGCCCTATCCCTAACTTGCCTCGACCCCTGCGCGAAGTCATCTCTTGTAGTTTCATCTCTGACAAGAACAATGAAATATTTATGAGCCTCTTGCTGGCTTTTGTTTGTTTTTATATATTTTTAATGGCAACTATTTATCGTACTCGTATTTATAGATTTGTCTTTCGATTCATGGAGCTGTTCTTGCTGCCGTTTCTGTTGCTGGTTCATTGCCATACGGCATGAACTGTATGCAACTCTATGGAACTGTGCTCAAATAATAACCATTTTTTTTTTTTACTTTTTTTTGTCGATTATAAAATAACATTCATTTATGCGTTAAACGATAAGGCTAATTGTTGCTGCTGATTCTAAACTTAATCACGTCACGGTCAGTTCGAGTCGTAATTCAAATTGTTTGTTATTGGCATTTGAATTGGAATTTGAATTTGAATTTTACACAATATGCCTACGTGCCTGCATTTGTTAATGTTTGCAGAACAATCGAATACAATAAATTATGCAATGCAATAAAGATATGATTGTGCAACAGGAAGTGTTGGAAAAGGATAAGTGAATTATATAGCTTATATAGTTATTCGATATGCCATGAGTGACAAGTTTTATGCAAGCTAATTTATAGACTTTCAGTTAAACCAAGTTTCTGTTGCTTAGCTGCTTGATATGATATGATATGTTGTTCTTTTAATCTGCTTTATCATAATTATTCATCAAAAATATCATTCATAAACAGTTGTTGGCACTTCTTGAGTCAGTTTCGTTTAGTTTGGGGCATATTTCTAGCATGACTCATCAGGTTTTTTTTTTTTTCGGGTCCTAGCCCGCAGGAAGAAAACTTACCGCAGCGAATGTTGCAGTCACAGACTGAGATATATACTTATGTTATGTACCCCAAAGTGCGGCACGTGCCTGTGAATCTTTCCAGTTCCGATAAGAATCAGCGCAAATATTGCACAGTGTGGAAGTTTGCCTAGCTGGGCTCTTATCAGACTGGCCCTTAGATTGGCCAATTGCTGATTAGGCACTGATAACTCAAGAACTAGGCAGCGGGCACAAGGTTAACTCTCACTTGGCAGCCAGTTAAAGCTAGTTGTGTATACTCTATGATAATAATTAATAAAGTTCAGTTTTGAAATTTAACTGGCAGCCTATGCGTATGTCGCCAGGTGGGTGGAGCAACAAATCAAATCAAATTCGAGTTCGAGTTCGAGCTCGAATTCGTATTCGAATTCAAATTCAAATCGAGCCGTGTGAAGCGACGTCTTTGGATTACGCGAACCGTTTCACAGCACGTTCCGTGTGCGACTCCCGTTTGTTGTTTAGCCACAGCGTTGACTTTGCGCTAGCTCTCGCTACCTGTCCCCCTTCCACCCTCGCCCCTCTCTCTCCACTCTCTCTCCCTCTCGTTCGCTCTGTCTGTTGCTGATTCGTGGTGGCCTGGCCAGGCTGAATTACGCGCTGTTAACTTGTCTATGCCGTTTCTTTGGCGCGACAAATGCCGGCGACACTCCTCTCCCTCTCTCTCTCTCTCTTTCGCTGTGCGTGTGTGTGTGTGTCGGTGTGTTGTGAATTCTAATGGTACGAGTATTACCTATTACCTGTGCTACCTTTGCATATGTGTTGCTACTTTGTACCCGCTTTCGGCGTCATTTATTAAACTATCTAGACTAAAAGTCCTTTGACTATTAACAGGCTTTTGTGCCAACTGAAAGGCGAGACTATAATATGTTAGTTTATAATTGTGCAACATCAACTAACACGTATTGCTAATTTAACATATCGAAATGCTTCAGTTATTTACAAACAAATTTAAAGCGAAGAGCTCTTGTAAGTGTATACAAACGTCGTCATATAGAAGTTTAGTTTTTTTTTGCCATGTTCTATTTATTATAATAGTTCAGGCGGCATTTGGAACGGCGCAAGTTCGGCGTCGGCGTCGACGTCGACGTCGCTGTCGTCGAGTCACGCGACTAACAATAAACATAAAATACACACACACACACACACACAGACAGACAGACGTACACACACACGCCGTTTGTGCTTGGCTTTTTCATAGGAATATCTAGAAAATAATTTCCTGGCACTTTGTGTGGTCAAATTGGCCGCAGGCATAGAGAAAAGTTAGTTGCCATTGGGACTCGTGCAACAGGCCACAACAAAAGCGGAAAAGTTGAAAAGCTCTCGAGCTGCTTTAAAGCGTTATGAGTTAACAGCGTACTTACCTCAAGTTTCAATTGTGTGCAAGAAGCAAGGAATTTAATAAAATGCCCAAAAAGTCCTCTTGGCTTGATCTATGCGCTGTTAAGCTTAGCAGCTCTGTTAGCGCACTGTTAACGCTCGTTTTATTTGATGATTCACGCTGTTAGCTCAAAGCGACAGCTCTCTAATAAACAAAAAAGCTTTTTTTTTGCTTTTATTTTTTATTTATTTTCTTCTTGTATTTTTTTTTCGGTGCCGGAAGCGTCACAGTTAAATTTTTATACACTCAGTTGGGCTGGTATTTGCGATAAATATGTATGCATAAATTTTTGAATATGTTTTGGGTTCTCAAACTCTGGGCAAACTGTTTGCTCAAGCACCGCGCGCACTGCAGCTAAAAAAAGTGTCGGGTTTCAATTTCAGTTTCAGTTTCACGAGTTTGCAACTAGACTGAAGCCGACGCCGCTGCGCTTAGATACTTTTATATGGCCCGGATCAAGGGGTGCGTTACAACAACAACAACAACAGCAGCAGCAGCAGCAGCAGCAGCAGCAGCAACAACAACAATAACGACGACGATCCAATCGGATCAGTCTGTCAACGCCGACGTCTCTGCCGGCGGCGCAGTCGATGTCGACGTCCTTCCCTGTCAGACGGATGCCTCAATGTAGTGTTTGCCTCTTCCTCATTTGTTTTGGGAAGTATGCAAAGCAACAACAACAACTACAACAACAACAACTACAACAACAACAACTACAACAACAGCAAAGCTCAAGCTCAAAGCTAAAACAATAGCGCTTAGCCTTAGTTCTGCTGCTGCAGCCTCCTCTTTAGCCAGCCTCTTACTCCTGCCACGCCCCATTTGCTGCAGCTTTTAAGGCAGCGCTGCACTGACTCATTTTTGTTCATTTCTGACGCACTTTCGATAAGAACTGGAGCTGGATTCCTGCTGATCAAAACGGTATCAAAACCGCAACGCATTGGTCATTGGAAATCTTCCTCCCCCTCTATCTCTCTCTCTCTCTCTCTCTCTCGTTCTCTCCCTCTCGCTCTTTATCTGTGGCTCTGTCTGAAGTTCATGAGCTGAATCATTTGATATGCGCGCCGTTTCAAAGTCTCAAATGTTGTTGTTCTGTTGTTGTTGTCGCTGCTAAATTTCATTTTATATTGTTCTTATATTTTGATTTATACACAATCAGACGTGCAGGAATGCCACTTTTCTTCAGCTGCTGCTGCTGCTGCTGCTTCTTCTTCGTCACCCTCCTGCTGCTTATTCTTCTCATTAAATGGCTCCTTTGTAACGCATTTATTTATTTAACATATAATACAATATTGGAATCAAACAAATGCGGCATAAACCAAGCATTTTAGTTGCAATGAATAACCCAGCCCAGCCAGGAAGTCAGCAGACAAATCAAATGGCCAGCCGGGCACTCCCCATATATACGCTATGGTTTCTAAGAGGTATTCTTTGATGGATTCTCATGTGAGTCAAACTCGCTTGACACCTTTATTATAACTGTTTATTATGGTGCTTAAGCGCGCGTGGGAGTTCTTTACGGTCTTTAAGAATCGATTCCCTTTATTTAAATCATTTCCCTGCTTTTTTTGGCATACTTTTAGGCGTACAAATCATGTTTTCAAACAGGATTTATCATTCTTTAATGATTTACTTGGGTTTTTTTTGTTTGCTTTTGTTCAATTTTATTGCTATTATGGTTTTGGGTTTTCTTTTTCTTTCAGCAACTTTTGTTGGCAATCTAATAAAAGTCACAGAACATTCTTTTCGACTTCTTCTCACTGCAAATGGTATTTTTCTGAGCCAAGTTCAGTTAACGTACTTTCAAGTACGCTTTCGTTTCAAGATTGTGAATAAATGAATGTGAAATGTGAATCACTTATTTACCGTTACGCCTGGAACTTGACCTTGAATTGAAGCGCAATTGAGAGCTTAATGAAAGGGTGTCTGCCTTATAAACATGGTACTCGATATGCAGTCAGCCCCTAACCTTGACTCTGGCTCGGCTGCGTGTCTGAGCCACCTTTGTCTGGCGGCTCTGGGCCCGGTGTTGGCTCCTCTGGTACGTGTTGTGGTCGTAGGACACGCCCAGATGCATCATGGGATAACAACATTTGCTTATGACAATAGCCCAGACAGAGAGCCTCTATCAATATGAAGCACATATAATTCATGTGGCAAGTGACTAGCCAAACATTCCCAGAAATGTCTTGAGTAATGCTTTCGCCCAAAAAAAAAAAAACAAAAAAAAAACACCAGACGACATCTGAATAAACAAACTTTTTTTTGGGCTGGGGAAATTGGATAACATATTTTTTAATGCGAATCGCTGGATTTTCGATCAAGCGAAGCAAAGCAGCTGCTGCTCTTGATGCGACGGATCAGTTCTTGGCGAACGGATGACTCGATGCCTGATTGGCAGCTGGACAGAGACGATAGGGGATCTGGGAGGGCGGTTCAGACAGCTTGTGCTTGAGTCTGTTTCCAATTAGCGCAACATTGAAGCGCAGCCAAAAGCACTTGACAGCGAACAACTTATTAAATTCAGACGCGAATCTCAAGTCGTTGTCAATATGTTGACCCTCCGCGACGACCAGAGCTGTCATTTAACACCAGTTGCACATAGAAATCGAATTCAATATGCATTCAACATCAAATTCGAATGCACTCAACACATTTTGGCTCTCCGATCACGTGGCCTGATCCGAGCTTGGCTCCCAACTATTTTCCAGCCCGAACTGATTCCGATTTCGAACACAGAAATCAGAATGCATCTGCTGCAGATACGTCTGGGCGTATGACTATTTAATGAGTATATCCGCATATCCGTTTAATTATTCACACACTTCACTTCCCCCCCCCCCCCTCTCACCCTTTCGCTGCCCCCTCATTGATTTGTGATAAGAGCACGACACGATCTTGGCCAATTAGCCAGGTTTCTTATGCGCCTCGACAATGTCTCGCATTGATTCTCTTTCATTTACATACTCGTTAGTTTACAACTTAATAGTTAGTTGAAATTCTAAAAGCAATTCGTGTTTACCCATTAATCAAGTCGGTTTAGCTAATATATTGGGTAATTTTATACTACTCGAATGATTTTTCCCTTTATTTTTTGAGCAGTTCGAAATAGTCTATTTACATAGTTCTAGCTCGCATATCTCGGGCAAATGGTATTCGATTCTGGACTTTTATATCTCTAATGAGTTCTAAGGATTACAAACTTTGACATTCACGTCAAAGGTTTAACCATGATGCTGCTTCCTCCCACTAATTGCAAAATATGAAGCCCTTGCAGCTCCGACTTCAAATATGCTCTATGCCATCAATTTCTCTAGATTTGACATTTTGTAGGATTCTTTAGGCGTTCGCAATGCGTTGTAAAATTATATACAAGATCTTACCTTTCAGCCGGAAAATACATCAATAATCCCAGTCAAAAAAAGGATTCTGCATGCAAGCAGCAACTGTCGCAGCTGGTCAAAATCTATCTATTCTATATATATTCTTTATATTTTGTCAAGCTTAAGGATATTCCAGGATATCTGCATGTACTTACCGACCTGACAGTTAATACATTAATATTCTGTGAGCTATCGCTTTATGAAATGGGCAATGTTTTGGGCTAGAGCCTGACTTCTTCAGACTTTTGAGTCCGACTTTATGGCCTTATAAATATACAATTAATAATTTTGGATGGCAGTTGTAGTGTTGTTGTTGTTGTTGTTGTTGTTGTTGAGCAGTACAATCACGTTCGGCGGGCAATGAACGCGCAAGTGCAAAATCCAATCAAAACATATCTGAAATTTTTTGGCTAAGCGTGGACTTGAATCATGCCGCGCGAATCCATGAAATATAAACAAAAGCACAAATCTGGCATAACAGAGGAGCAGACAGGGGGTGATAGGGTGAGTGGGAGAAGGGGCGAGGGGAGTGTGGAGAGGGGGAGGGGGGGGGGGGGGGTGCAACCACATGTGCCACATGCGTCGCGTATTTGCATTGGTCAAACAAAAGCCGTAAATGGTTGTTGAAAATGCAAATATGAATTGCGAGCTGCAATTGCTTTATTCCCCTCTCTTATTTCAATTCGGGTTAGATGAACTTTTTGGCAGCACCCCGCGGACCCTCTCACCTGCAGGCTAAGCACACCTGTCAAATTTCACCTGACACCCAAACAAAATATCTCGATTTGTTGTTATTTGTTATTTGGTTTGCATTTGAAGCTGGCTGGCAAATGTTGAAGAAAAAATAAAATAAAAATAAAGAACCAGCACAATTGTCAGCTGAAAATTCAGGTGTCACTGCGCCCTATTGCCCATAACTTTCGTTTGTTCTGTTGCCGGTTTCCTGGTTCAATGCGTTCGCGTTTAATGTCGATTTTTGAATTTTCGGTAGTATACTCGTATATTGCATTTAATTGCCGCCCTGCACTGGCACTGCCACTGGCACTGACACTGGCAAATATCGCGCATACGCCGCGTACTCCAAGTGCCATCATAATTTGTTCGTTATCCCCACCTTTTTTGGCTCTTGTCTGTTTTCTGTGGGGCTGGTTCTGGCTGGGCTCTGGGTCTTCGCGCCTGCTGCGTATCGGAATGCGGAGCACGTTGCCGCCGCCGCAGCACGTATTAATGAGCAATGCCCCCAGCCCCGCCCTCAATCCATAAAGTCGAATGTTTCTTTCTGTATCTCCCAGCGGCCCCTTGACAATAATATGTATATTTATTTCGCTCAGTTGCGCTGTGTAGACAACAGTTATGGCATTTAATGGTTAAAACATGCAGCAGTCGTCGGGCATACCCTGGGCTTAATGTGTGTAATGGGTATGTAGAGCTCTGTCATCTGTTTCATCTGCGCCATCTTTCGTTTTGGGGTAGCCATACAAAGTGTTTTAAACATAGGTAGGGTATCTAATAGTCTACCATTCACAGGGTATCTAATAGTCTGATCACACTTGCGCCTACTTTTACTCGAATCTAACAGAAGATTTTTATATATGCCATATATTTTGCTCTTCTCACTTTGAACTAATTTATATACTTTTTACAGGGTATCTCTGTGTCGAGCGCTGTGACCTGCGAACCGGCCACGGTTACTTTTGTGTCTTCCCTGGAGGCGCTGTCAACAAACGAACAAACAAACAAACAATCAGAATCAAGTGCGACAGGCACTTAACTGGCTCCATTGTCCATTTTGAAGAGCGCGTTGCGTGGGCGAGGAGCCACTGCCTCGAGGCTGTTCCCGCTTCCGCCTGTGCCACACCCACCACGCAAGCATAGGTAAATACATGTTTATTGATCGCAAATACATATAACTAACTGCAGCCTCTCCTTTTGTTATTTTTGTTTTTTTTTAGCTACTTGAAACTTGTGTGAAAACCGCTTGATTAAGTTTAAATGCACGTTGATTGTCACTGGACACCGGATCCGAGGGAGCGTGGCGGATCGGGGATCAGTAACCGAAGAAGTTAAAGCCGCAGAGCAGCTTGTCGGGTCGCCGGATGCGCAGGATGCCGAACTGGAAGACGGACATATCATCGGCCACATTCATGTCCAGCGCCATCAGCTTTTCGGCGGCTAGCGGATGCCAAGAGCCGAATGTGCAGGCGGAGTTCATCTGCAAATATAATTTCATTAAGTTAATATTAACTCCAATTGCAACCTGCCCACCTCTTTGCTGTAGTAGTGACAGCGTCCGTTGAGTCGTGTGGAGGGCACATATTCCACAAAGTCCACCTGGGGACAGTGCGGCAACAACAAGGCCAAGCCTATAAACATAAATATGGATGAATCCAGCAGAACAAGCTAAGAGTTAGGCAACAAGAAATCGAAGCAAACCAATTGGGATTGCCCTGCAACTAACTGCTGCAGTCCAATTGGAATATCATTAAATTTAATTTATAACTTATATAAGTTAACAACAAATAAATTCATACAGTCCCAATAAGAAGCATTGCAACACCTCATAAGAAGTGCAGCAAAATGCTGACTTGGTGTCTGTGCCATTTCCTCCACGCGCCGACTGGCAACCGCCGAAAATTCCAAGAAGAATTGCCCAACGGGCCAACAACATCAGCAGCGACGCCGCTGCCAACGCCGCTGCCGCTAAGCCACAGGTTACTAGGGCTAGAATTGATTTAAGTTTATTCAGTTGCAAATTAACATCAAATAAAGGAAGTCTTGCTTCCCTAAAAATTATATTTTTTTCATCGTTTAATAAACTTTGGAATTAACTGGCGCCCGAGCAGGGACCGGCTCGTGTTACAACAGAACAAAACGCTTCTACGTACGCGTTAGTCGGTTATACGCGAAAATAAAACCAGTGCAACTCTCGTCGATTAAATTCAACGATCGGTTAAATTCGCGAAAGGCAATTGGAACTTAATTGTTCAATTTTGCCCATCGGTGGACAACGCATCTTGTAAGGCCCGCCCGCAGGATACTCTCAACAAAGACTGGTCGCAGGATCCCCAGTAGATACCCAAAGGCTTCAAAAAGGATGAAATCCGGACCGGCAGGGGAGGTTGCCACATCAGGAATAGTACTGTAAGTTAGAAATTAAGTGAAACAAAAAAAAAAAAAAAACAAACGAACAACTAACACAAAAGTTATAAGAATAATAAATACTAAAAATTGTAGAACGATAAGCAAGATAAAAAAGTGTAAAACGATCAACAAATATAAAGACTACGAACGTAGTATAAATTATTTCCAACTTTGCGACTCCCAAGGGACCCTCCAAAGTAGAAGGAAGAAACCAGCCACTGGTTTTAAAAAGAAAACAAAACAATCAAAAATTCAAGTAAAATATAGAGTAAAAAACTAACACTAGATTTAAATATACTTCGAAAATATCTTAAAATATACAATATAAGTAATATATCTCGTTTATGGCTAATGAAAGCAATTTAGTTAGGCCCCCAATAGTATCAGATCAACCACAGGTAGGCGGACATAACTCGAACAGACAGCAACAACGACATATCGACAGACAAAACGAACATTTACAAAATAGAGTCATGGCGAATAACGCAGAACAGATAATAGCAGCCACGGTTAGCCAGATTTTGGCACAACAACTGCCGACATTGGTAAAGCAGTTAGTCAACCCCTCTAGGGAGTTTAGTGACGTAGACGACCAAACAATAACTGCCAACCACAATTTGAATGACTTAGACAGAGTTCCGGACATAGTTAAAAGCCTCAGAGAATTCTCCGGTAATCCAGCAGAATTTAGCTCATGGAAGAAGAGTGTAGATCGTATACTCTCAGCCTATGCAGCTGAGGCAGGTTCGCCAAAATACTTTGGCATATTGCATACAGTGAGAAACAAAATCACTGGCAATGCCGACACGGCCCTCGAGTCGTATAATGTTCCCCTAAATTGGAGCGCTATCTCCAAATGTCTCACGCTGCACTACGCAGACAAAAGAGATCTGGGAACATTAGAATATCAGATGACAATGTTAGTGCAAGGTAACAACCAAACAGTAGAAGAATTTTACCAGGTCGTTTACAACCACTTGTCGCTGATATTAAATAAAGTAGGCTGCATGGAATTAAACAGGGAATCCGAAACCCTTATGACAAAAATATACCGAGATAAAGCATTAGATACCTTCATTAGAGGTTTGAAGGGAGATTTACCACGGATTCTTGGAATAAAGGAGCCAGCAGATCTACCTTCAGCCCTTCACTATTGTTTAAAACTAGAGAATCAAAGCTATCGCACTAACATGGCTTTGAATAGAAACCAACAGACACATGCCAGAAACCCAAATAGAAATATACCACCACCTACACTGCCACCTCGAACAGCTCAGCCTCATTTCGCTCAAACTTTTAGGCCACCACCCATTAGCTTCAGGCCCCAACTCCCGATCCATACACCTTGGCCAACCAATACAAACCATAGACCACCGACTTACAACAATAATGGACCGATTCCACAATATCCCAACCAACGAACCTACCAGACACAACCACAACAGGTATACATACCCAATAGACCTTCTGCACCAAAACCCCAACCACGTCCTGAGCCAATGGACGTGGACCAAAGCATCCGCACGAGGATGATAAACTACATGAACAGACCCAATTTTGAAGTAGGGAAAAGACCTCCACCACCAACAAACGCCACGGACAAAAAACAAAGAAATTTCAACATACAAACAGGAGAAGAACAGACGGAGACAGAAAACACCGACAACTATGTGACTATGGAGGAATACGTACAATCAATGCTAAATTACGAACAGCAGACTGAATACGAACAACCATTAAACGAATACGCCCAACAAATTGAAGAAACAGATGACGGACAAAATACCCAATACGAACACTCAGACATTAATTTTTTAGGATAAAGAGCTCCTCTCTTCCTTACATAGAATGTAAGATGGGGAGCGGAAAATTACTCAAAATACTAATAGATACAGGATCAAACCGAAATTACGTCCAACCAAAATTCGTGTCCGAGCCTATTCCAAACGAAAAACCCTTTGAAGCCGTCACAGTCGGCGGAAGCATTAAAATTACACACCACAAGTTCGCTAATCTTTTTAATAGAAACGATATAAAAGTAAAATTCTTTCTCTTACCCACCCTAAAATCATTTGACGCCATATTAGGTAACGATAGTCTAAAGGAACTAGATGCTGTGATACAAAGCAGCAAGAATCTACTAATAATCAAGAACAACATTTGCATACCCATTAAACAGAAAAAAATAGAGGCGGTCAACACGGTAATACCACGGACAGAACATATGACAAACGAACAAAAAAATAGCCTTAATCAACTAGTTAAAATGCACCCACACCTATTTGCCAATCCGGACGAAAAACTGACATACACAACCAACGTCAGAGCAGAGATTCGAACAAAAAACGACTCCCCCATATATTCAAAATTTTACCAATTTCCAATGTCTTTAAAAGACGAAGTACACAGCCAAATCAAAGAACTTTTAGAGGACGGAATCATCCGACCCTCCCGATCCCCGTACAATTCACCTGTGTGGATTGTTCCGAAAAAATTAGATGCCTCCGGGCAAAAGAAATATCGCATGGTTATAGACTACAGGAAACTAAATAAAGAAACTACCGCAGACAAATACCCTATACCCGAAATCAACGAGGTACTAGCACAGCTAGGCAATAACAAAGTTTTCTCTGTCTTAGATTTGAAAAGTGGCTTTCATCAAATACCCCTTAAGGAGTCAGACATAGAAAAAACTGCCTTCTCCGTTAACAACGGAAAATACGAGTTTACACGACTCCCATTCGGTCTCAAGAATGCGCCCTCAATTTTCCAGAGAGCTCTTGACGACATCCTTCGTGAGCATATTGGAAAAATATGCTTCATTTATATTGACGATATCATTATCTTTAGCAAAGATGATGAATCGCATGCGCAGCACCTCGCCGCCATATTCAGAACTCTACAAGAAGCCAACATGAAATGTCAGTTGGACAAATGCGAGTTCTTTAAAAGCAGAGTAGAATTCCTGGGATTTGTCATCTCAGACAAGGGGATAGAAACTAATCCAAACAAAATTGAGACAATAAGAAAGTACCCACTTCCAAAAACACTCAAAGATTTAAGATCGTTTATTGGCCTTGCCAGCTATTATAGGAGGTTTATAAAAGACTTCGCTAAGCTAGCAAAGCCCCTAACCTCTCTTTTAAGAGGGGAAGATGGACGCGTGTCCAAAAATCAATCAGCTAAAAAGCTCATTAATCTCAACGAAGAAGCGATCGAAGCATTCAATAAAATAAAAAATTCCCTAGTTTCGAATGAGGTAATACTTCATTACCCAGACTTCAGCAAAGAATTTCATCTGACAACAGATGCATCCAACTTTGCTATTGGGGCTGTCCTATCCCAGAACAAGCGACCCATTTGTTTCCTCTCTAGAACTCTCTCTAAAACAGAGGAGAACTACGCCACCAATGAAAGGGAAATGTTGGCAATAATTTGGGCCTTAAAAGCCCTCAAGAATTACCTCTACGGTAAAGCGAGTGTAAAAATATACACCGACCATCAACCCTTAACCCACTCTCTTAGCAGTTGGAACGGCAACGCTAGGATAAAGAGGTGGAAAGCTTACCTAGAAGAGTTTGATTACGAACTCCTCTATAAGCCAGGTAGGGATAACATTGTAGCCGATGCGCTATCACGTATCCCTGTGATCAATAATATTGGATCAGTAGCCTCCACCCAGCACAGTGCAGACAGTTCAAGCCACAACTTAATTCCGAGCATAGAAGCTCCAATCAACGTATTCAAAAACCAGATATTTCTCAGTAGAGCCAACGAAACAAATTACGAATTCCATATCCCATTCCCAACATTCCATAGGCATACAATTACTCGACCAAACTTCTCAGAACACGACCTCACGCAAATACTGAAAGCTCATCTAAACCCATCCGTAATCAACGG